ATCCCCTGCGAGACTGCAACTTCACATTCCTCCAAACACTACAGCTCAGCTCGCAGCTTTCCCCAACTTCCATACAAGAATTAACAACCCCAATTCGTACGTTTTCTCTGTTGCAAGATCATTAGAGACTCCTAGCAAGGTACGCAACATCTCAACTTCGCGACTGCGTTACACACCACTCATTCCACTCCCTCAGCCGCCGCATGTCTCTCATCTTCCTGCCTCTCCAGGCCTTCATATGCCTTATTATATCCATTACCTACCTTCTTTACAACTTGTCACTCCTCTTTTCTCTAGTCTACCACTATCCTCCACGCAACCACTGCAATCATTGACCGTCTTTCATTTGCAGCCGCAATCAAGCAAGCTGGGCCTGCCTTCAGCCTACTCCTCGATCTCGCGATCTTATCAACTGACATAGTTCCTTCGGTCAAGAAAGTAAGTCACAGAAACAAGTATGTTCGAGTCTTGCCGCCCGTCTCAGTCTACCAGTACATCATTATATCTTTCTTCACCTTTACCTACGCTATTTCATCCCTTCGTATTTCCTACCTCAACCTCATAGTGCCCCTTCTCAGGCAAAACGACAGATATTGACAAGCTACTACCTAGCTCGAAACAACAACCAAGTTACTTTGTCGTTCCTGACCACCCTATGATTTTTCCCTCGCACAGCCGCTTTAACACACCTTAGCAACACCAGTGCTTGCCATAGAGAACCCTTCCGACACCATGGAATCATCCCCATCCTTCGAAGAGACTCCTCCATCATCCCTCGGTTCCGAGCCAGGCCCCAATGTACCAAGCCCCAAGGTACGAGAGTGGTCCCAGTTCGAGCTCGACACGGTGTGCGCCCTAATCTGCCAGCACGAGCACCGTCAGATTTTCAAAAGACGCTATCGCCGCGGGGATATGAATGGCGAACACTCGGATGAAGACTGGGCCCTCGGGTTTGCCACGAGATTGAATGAGGCTCTTCACGGCGCCGATGAGTATCAACACGATATTCCGGTTGCTGATGTGTGCGAACTCATGGACTTCATCGAGACAAAGAACCAGAATTTTATGGCGTATATTAGCAGACAGTCAACCCCATTCCGAATCACACGCTCGAAGAGGTACGCGTTCCAGCGCTTATGTAGCCATTTTAACGATGCCTTCTACAACTGGACCATCACGCGCAGGGAGAGACGCCGAAATACCAACATCGGTACTGACGAAGAGATATCCCGGCTCGATTCTTTCGGTCGTCACTTGTCAAGCCCCAATCAAGGTGAATTCATATCTCACTTGCCAATTCATGTCCTACTCGAATCGTCAGACTAATGCTTGATATTTGCCAGACCCTTATCTTCTCGGCGCTGCTCGCATTCAGAAGATTTTGGATGTGGGATTAGATCCCAACATTGAAAGGGGCTGGATATCAAAGTCCGTATACGCCCAACGAAATCGGGAGGGCCCGAATATCAACAGCTCCTTGGGCTCGGCCCCAAAGATTAATTTGCCTCAACGCTCTATCCTTCCGCCAAAGTATACCCGTCGAGTTTATCGTCACTCGAACCAGCCGGGAGTCATTCCTCTCCCACCTCCGCCGCCCCCATTGCCCCAGCCTACTCAATACGAGCAGATGAATGTACATCAATCCAACTCATACGACATTCCGAGCTACGAGGGCATAGAGGTAGACATGCACAATCATCTAACAAGTCCCACTTACTATGGCCACCCTAACCCAACCTTTTCAGCTTCACCCTATCCCCCAACCTCTCCGGCCTATTTCGGCCATGCTGAGCTGCGACAAAGCATTCATCCAACGGGCCCTAGACCTGAGACGCCCATGGTTATGGCCTCACCTGCTTACCAGTATCATTTTGAGGTACAACAGGATATATACCCGATGAATCAGCAAACGGGCGCTCCTGGATCTTTGACATCGCCGGTACAAGATAGCCTATCTCATCCAACCTTTATGGGCTATCAGTATCCCGAACCAGCACAAGAGAATGGAAGTTTCGACTACGGTAGAGTCCTTGAGACGCCTGCTTCTCCTTCGTCTCCAATGTATATTCCTGACGCAGCACCTGCTGAGATGATGGGCACCCAAACAGAGGAAAAGGAACCCACGCCATACTTGAGTGAACTCCTGGAACAACCCAATTTCAACTTCGATCGTTTCAACTATGGCGAGTATTCTCCGTATTGGCCTCCAAGTGCTGACTAAGCTACGTTGCAACTTCAATCTGGTACGTGTTTGTAGTCACTTTGTACATGTAACTGGATGAAGGTTCTGCTCACCTTGGAGTCGCTGGTCGTGGCGAGGAGAAGAAACAGGAGAACAAAAAAAACTCAATCATGAGGAGGTCAGCAACAGTAAGGAGACGGGAGCTCAAGCCAGTGAAATGTACCCAAAGAAACGAGAAATACCCAGAAAAAAATCAGGCGTCTTTTCATCGACGATCTCTTTGCGACCCAGGGCCAACTGCCTGCTATATCAGCCCCTATTTCCTTGAAGAGATGAACCAATACTATTGCCTCATATCATATTTATTTTGTTTTGCGCTTTATTAATCCTCTCCGCCCAGCTCTATGCCAACACAATAGCACATGCCATTGACATAGGATTCACGGTAGACAAGTATGTCAGCTTCCCCTAAGAAACAGATGAAGATCAACTAACACCTCTCAAGACGCCCAAACGCACGGGTTCTGAAAGACATTGCCGGAACAATAGCTCGCAATTCCCAAACGAAAGACGAACCGAGATTCCTTTTCATATTTCGTACTTGGTATTCCGTGCGAAATTGCGTCGACCAGTTGGTCTGAGAAGCACATTTGAATTCTCGCTTGATATTACTCAATAACAAGCTCGACGAAGAAAATGAAGAGAGCCCCTTGCCGCAGCACGCTGTGCCGTACCATATAGTAGCCAGAAAGACCATCTTTTGAACTGAATCGTTTTGGTCAAAATGGTCTATGACTACGAATACGAAGGATGAGGGACACGAGATAAGGAAATAATAGCAGACAGCTATGGTGACAGTTGAAAGAAGAAGCTAGTGATAAGGGGAGAAAGACACAGACACTATTGCCGTAGAGTAAGATAATTAGTCTCTTGCCCAGTGATGGCGTCACAGAAAACGAAAGATACTCGATGCTTTACTTGCCGATGCTTCTTCTTGAATCTACCGTAAACGGCGAGGTGTGATATTCCAGGTTATTCCCGGCGCATTTGTTACGGTCCCAAATGTAAGCACATATAAGCAACTGCAGGTGGCCAAGTCGCCCGGCCTGACCACATCTCCCGCTGCCAGTAGTCCCAAGGCACGGTACTACAAGTCTGCTCCGAGACATCTTTGCGTGGTTCTGGGCTCGCCCGGTTTTCTTCGCGAGTATGGCAGACGAATAGCCATTTGACTCACCCGAGCCTAAGAGATTCGCATGAGAGGGGTGAGAATATCATCCATGGGGCAGAGCGTCTCGTTCTTGCGTGCCCCCTAGAGTGGAACATGAACGGCGTGTGAGAGCGAAAGCCCTGTGTTCGGGACCCAGCGCCCGACATCTATAGGTATCTCTCTATGCTACCCTTGCACCTGTCATCGGCTTTTCGGGAGCACATTACTGAAGGTAGCAAGTACAAGAGCGGCCTTGGGCGGGCCCATGCGGGAAAACGGCAGTCAGGGCTCTCTCTGTATCTATTCCGATCTGACACATCGACTTCATTTCCAGTGATATGTCAGGATTGGTCGCCGGGATCAAGGGAGGAGATGCAGAACCGATTCCGTTTGCTCCTGTTGGATACCCACTTGGTTCCGCCTCCTTGGTAAATACGTTGTATCCAGGTTAACCCGGTTTCCTCTACTGCGGCCGCTTTCGCCCTATCATATAAAGGTACGTGTCCATCCCTCGTGAATAAGTGGTGGTGGCTACATATCCACAATGCGCGCTATGACTTCCGAAATATCCAGTCCCGTGTATTGTATGATCCTCGGCATCGATGTAGTCATACGATATTACATCTCTGTATCGCCCCGTCGTGCGGGAGCAGGAAAGACGAATCTCCCTGCAAGAGTCCGGGAGCGGTTTCCCGAGAAAGACAAGTCTACACGGGAACAGCTAATTTCCTTGCCGATGATCTGCGGTGCTTGCTCAGGTGGGCCATTGTGCTCGGCCGCCTTGCTCATTCTCAAAACACATCTAACATTGGCCACATAGGTAGTAAGTAGTACAGAGTGTGAAAATGACTGGCTGTCCTCTCTTGTCCATGTTAGCTATGTCCCACCACCCCGGAATCCTTCTGTGATGGACGGAGCGTAAGTACCCCCTCATTGGTACTACTCTATTCACGCTGACAATGGCAGTCTCCTATACCACTCATTGTATCCAGTGGTAGGAGACGCTACCTATCTTGGCCTATAAGACTAACGTGACACGAGACAGACGTGGCAAGGCCCGTGAGGGAATTCAAGGCTTCGACGGGATCATACGGTCAGACCTTCGCATTTAATATCTTAATACCCTTGGACGAAGCGGCCGGATTGAAACAAACAGAAGTTTACCCGGTGCTCGAGCCCTTTGTGCTCCCCATCCAAAATGAAGAGTATACAGTTACATGCGTGTGAATATGGGACATGCATGTTGCGCTTGTGGAATAGTCATGTCAGTCACGAGCACCATTGTATTCCCCATACTACTTGCCTACGTACGTATTCACTTGATGATAAACGTATCGAAGAAGCAGGGCTACACATACACGGGTACAGCTTGCACGCGTTGCAGCCTCGGCAGAGCTTTACATTGGATCTAATGGGGTCATGATCATCGATGCCCTTACATACCGGCCTGTTCTTATCTTTTCTACTACGACCCATCCATCACCAGACCAAAACTTTTGTGTAGAATAGAAATTACAGAGCAAAGCCAAAAAGAACTTAAAATTTCTCAGAAGAAAAAAAAAAGAGTCGGCTGCTACTCCCAGTGGACAGGAGGGACATCAGGATTTGAGCCCGATGCGGGGGTCGAACCTAAGCGCACAATATTAGTTATTTCGATTCAGATTCCGCGAAAGCCTGAGTTCTTGCCTACCCGCAACCTTGAGATTAAGAGTCTCACGCTCTACCGATTGAGCTAACCGGGCGAGGCTAAGAGGTAGATGGGATATCGTTGTACGCAAGCCAACTTGCGAGCTACGATAGGACCAAGAGAGAGAAAAAAAGAGAGTCTGAGCCGTGTTCTCTGGTTGGGTGACTGACTACCTACCTACCCAATCTAGGCAAGAGAGTGTGATCTAATTGGTTCATGTGGAGGGAACTAATCTAGATAGTCCAAGGACACAACCAAAGCCTTTCACCCAAGTGAAACCTCAGAACATCCCTGATCCTGGTTTAGCTGGCTCTGGTGAGGTCTTGTTGAATCGCACTGCTGTCGATCACTTACTCGTAAATAACAAGTAGGGCGAACGTGTGAACCGGGAACATGGAAAGCAGTATAGAGATCATAATAATAGTAAAGCAAACTATGTGAATCTAGGGAATGCTAGAATGCTACCTATACTAAATATTGATTTAGGCTTCGGGAAACAAGGCGCTCGGTTAATGCGCCATCGGCCCAAACTACCATTTTAGTTAGGTAGTTGAAGCCATATCAAAAGTGCATTTTCTGATGGAGCAGGTGCTTATTTTGGAGAAATCCAAGGGTCTATTGTAGTACACAGAAGTGCAAAGCAGGCAACAAAAAGGTTATTTTGATACAAGTGGTGTGTTAAGCTTGTAGTTCCTGCCTACTGACTGTGCGGCGAAGAGTTGCCTACTTCATGACAATATTCGCAGTACGTAAACATTGGAGAAAGGCCCACATATCAATATAAGAAGTATTTTTATTACCGCTCAACCAAACTATGTCGGTGGAGAGAAAAGCAAATGAAGGGCAGCAGACAAGTCCAAACTGTACACAAGTCTCAGATGTGGAAAAGGAAAGCTGGAAATGGAAGATTCAGTGAGACTCAACCCAAAGGGACTACCTTGCGCACGGCCTGTATGTCACCCTGTAGTACGAGATACCAGGGTTAGGCAAAATGACAAGATAGCCGTGTGCTAAAAACACTCAACCAAGAAGATCGATATCCTGGCACTCGTATTCCTGGCCCATACGCATAGCCTGCCTGCCTGCCTGCCAACCTGAACGCTTGGGATCTCCAAGCGCCCTGTCCTGCCTGCAGTAAACTAGCTCCGTGATATCAGGATTCAGCTAGTTACCACTCATCGCTCGTCCTAGAACGGGGGCGTACCCGGACGCTCGCCTCATCGTCGTCCTCGTCGCAGGGTACGTCTTTGGATATGTCGTTGACTTCGACCTCGAAAGTTGGCATACCATCCAAAGCCAGCACATCGAGCAGGGCCGTGAGAACGGGGATGTGGAGCCCGTGCATATCATACCTTTCGCCAGCGATCACGACCTTGCTCACATGTGCCACCAGACCCTGTCTGTCGCCATCCCTGTTGCTGGAACCTGTAGCTCCCTTTATGCTGGGACCTTCGCCAGTGAACCTTCCAGGATGCAATCGTACGTCTGTGATGGCCATGTTCTGCAGCGCCTGGAAGGTTGGATGGACAGAGGATATGATGCGGTGCTGGCCGTGACCTACCCAGTGTACCGTGAGACAGACGGTGTAGGTGCCCGCGTTGGGGTGGTAGACGGTTCCTGGCCGGAAACGGTCACTGCTATGCTCACTGCGTTTTATGCTGCCACTGTTACTGGTGTTGATACTAGGTAGCATAGGTGGTCGGCCGCCCCCCTGACTCGCTGGAAAGGGCGCCCTGTCTATAGGGAGCCTGGGTAGACGAAAGCACGTGGGAGACTGTGCCGGGGGCATTGGTGGGCTCATGCCACTCTGCGGACGAAGGGGGTGGTGCGGGCCAGGTCCCATTCTTGCGGGATAGGGACGCGGGAGTGGGGGCACGGGTATGCCTCGCATCGAAGGCGGCGGAGCGGGAGGCCCATCCGATTTGGGAGGTCCAGGGTATCCAGGAGGTGGCGGGGGTGGCGCCTGTCTGAAGGCGAACGAGGGCGAACGAGACCGGCCAGGGCGGACGACGCGGGTGCGTGGGGGCTCTTCCCACTCGTGGACACTGATTACTGCTGCCGCGGCTCGCTTTGTCCCTAGGCAGTTGGCTGGATGTTGTCTATCCTTGGGCGCTTCATTGGACTCTGAGGCGTCATGTAGCACCATGGCCTCATCACCAGAACTGCCCCAGTCGGAAAGGGCGGCAGTGGAAGAGTCAGAATGACCAGAGATGATAGAGGCGGCATCGTCGTCATCTAAGTTGGACTCCAGCAATCCTATCTTGAAACCACTGGGAGCCGAGAAGCCATGTACCGTGATGTAGTTGTGGACTTCTGAGCATGACTTCGCGTGTAGAGACTCTACTGCCTTTTGGGCAGTCTCACATGATTCTGACACCAGTATGAGCTCACGAGTATCTTCATTGCATTTTATTGCGTGCGCTTTGAAGAGCTTGTCCGTGGGATCTTGGCTGGTAATCACTTGGACGATGTCATCTTTGCTTATGAGGAATTCACAGTTGTCTAGAATTGTTTAATTAGAATTGGCTATGATCTTACATTAAACGAGGTAGAATTACTGACCTATGATCTGTGTCCGACTGTCAAAGACAAGAGCTGAGGAGGGTTGTGATTGAGGGGCCATCGTAGTATTCGACAGGTGGCGAAGACGAGTGTGAGTTGGATCTGGGGGATCTGGGAGGAACACAAGCATTGGGGGAGAGAAGTTGTAATATATGCTTTTAATGATCATGACCGGAGACTCCGGAGGCCAAACCTTAAGTAGTGATTCTGGTGCACGGTGATAATGGTATCCTGCAGCCACGCTCCTTTTGTGCGTCAAAGCTTGATGGTACCTTTTGATTCGGCGAGGCTGGCAGCAGCAGGCATCTTACGAGACTTTGCTAGTCAGAAAGGCGCAAAGCCGTGACGCAGTCCTGTAACCATTTCACTATACACCTACCTATGCCTACGCTCTTGGAACGTAACTCAAGCCCCGGGGACATCATGTAAGAAAACTAATGACCGAAGTACTACGCAACAACATACGGGCATTGTCTGGATCCTGGCAGCGTTTGACAATGCTTTCTCAAGTGAGACCTACTGGTATAGAAGGTGGCCTGACCCTCCACAGAAAGAATTGGCAGGTTCAGAAGCGAGATAGTCACACAATCGACATACTCCAAAGTGACATCGGATAGGTGCGGATTGCTCGTTTGCAAGTCGGTAGGTATGTAGTATGTAGCTATGTCTCACTGCAAATGCCCGTCGTCATAGTGGCCCAAAAGTGTACCGGCTTAAGTTCCTATAGAGCCGCGCGTCGAGGCAAAAAAGAAATGATAAATTTAGGTGCCGTCTCTATGGAACTCAAGAGAATAATAGAAACCTAGAGATAGGTGTAGAGAACCTGCAGCGCATGTAGCCTACTTCGAGGAGGCGGATGACATTCGGAGTAACCTTAAAAAAAGTGAGGCGAGCGAGAGTTGGGGGCTCCGGTTTTTGATAACACATCCCTGGGAATCCCGTACAGCTCATCTCGTCTCCCCACACCACTGGCGACGATAATTCTGGAAGCGAGGGCATCCCTTCAGAAGGGATGGCATATTTATATGTCCCTCCTGGGTGGCCGATATGATAAGGCGGATTTGACTTGTCGCATGTCTTGTAGTCTATGCTGTATGTAGTATGGTTCGCTGGATGGATGTGCATCTGGACAAAAGCCAATAGATAAGACGGGTTACTCAGATGTCATAGGTCAATAAGGCGCGGCTGTATGGCCGACATTATCGGTTGCACCAGCATGCAGCACGACGCCGTAAGATCGTAATTGATTGTAGGGATAACGGCGTACATTGAACCACCATGTAGCCAAGGCATTCGCTATGGAAGGAAGCACCACGGCGGTGTATACGCTGACCACCTTCGAAGAATGCTGAACACCACACTATGTTGACAACCAATCACCCTGCACTTGTGCTGACGCAAATAGGATTATCGTTTTACAAATATACATTCCTTGATAAAGACGGATGAAACCAACCTTTAATGTTCTTTGGTGTGTTCTACCCAACCACTGCTAAGCGTTCCAGCCTCGACTTGACCGCCTCGACCAACGCTGTCTCTCGCTCCAGAAGATCCTTGACTTGACCGATCTTTGCGCGCCTGAGCTCTGACGGAATGCGCAGATCATCCCTTGAAGCACTTGAATTGTCCTCCTCTTCGCTGGCTGGGGCTTCGAGTGCTTGAGCTTGCTCTACAAGCTCATCTTTTAGCACTGTAACCCTCCAATACCTGTCCATCAGCTGCTTAGCCCGATTTTGCCCGTCTGCCACTTGAGCCGATTCGTTGATGCCGACATCCAGAGCCTTGACCTCCGCGACCCAGTCCTGCTCCTTTTTGCTAAGCTCTCGATTCGTAGCCTTATTGATCGTTTTTCTCATTTTTTCTAGACGTCGACTCAGAGCTTCTCCATTTTCTCTAGCGTTTGCTAGCCGCCTCTCGATGGCGGCATTGCTTGACTCTGGCTCTTCGCCCTCCCCAACCTCGTCTTCATATGTGATAGCTTCGACTCTTGCCTTGACTTCGTTCGCCTTTGTGATTTGCTGTTTCAGTTCATCTTGGAGCTTTACGCAGCGCAGGAACACTTCCGAAGCGGCAACCCCAATTCTGTGCGTCTCGTCGCTAAGGGCTTGGTGGGCTTCAGTGAATAGCTGTAGAGTAAGTGGCGAAAGTCGGATTTCCTGGTTCATGATCGTCTTGTAACGACTTGTGCGGAGTTTCTCGATGAACCCAGGTAGTGCTGAACTGTCGTCGAATGCGTGAGATGGCTGATAAACAGGGCGAGGCTCAAAAAACTCCAAGGGTCGGACTTCGGCATCTTGGCCAAAGGATGGTGAGGCAGATCTGATAGGGACGAAGTCTTCTTCAGGGCTATCAAATATTAGAGCAATTGGCTCGAATGGCGTGGCAGACAACAGGAAATAACCAAGGTCAGGGTCTCGGGTTGCAACTGCTGCACTTAAAGGTAGCTGCAAATCAGCCTGAGCTGGGCTATTGTAGAGTCGTTCTCGCGTAGAA